TAGAGGAATCAGGACCTCCTCCCTCCTGCCGGTGACCCCTCTAGTGATAGGATCTATATAGAGGAATCAGGACCTCCTTCCTCCTGCCGGTGACCCCTCTAGTGATGTAAAGATCTATATAGAGGAATCAGGACCTCCTTCCTCCTGCCGGTGACCCCTCTAGTGATAGATCTATATAGAGGAATCAGGACCTCCTTCCTCCTGCCGTGACCCCTCTAGTGATATAAAGATCTATATAGAGGAATCAGGACCTCCCTTCCTCCTGCCGGTGACCCCTCTAGTGATAGATCTATATAGAGGGATCGGGACCTCCCTCCTCCTGCCGGTGACCCCTCTAGTGATAGATCTATATAGAGGAATCAGGACCTCCTTGCTTCTGCCGGTGACCCCTCTAGTGATAGGATCTATATAGAGGAATCGGGACCTCCCTCCTCCTGCCGGTGACCCCTCTAGTGATAGGATCTATATAGAGGAATCAGGACCTCCTTCCTCCTGCCGGTGACCCCTCTAGTGATAGGATCTATATAGAGGAATCAGGACCTCCTTGCTCCTGCCTGGGGTGACCCCTCTAGTGATAGATCTATATAGAGGAATCAGGACCTCCTTCCTCCTGCCGGTGACCCCTCTAGTGATAGGATCTATATAGAGGAATCGTTGATTACTAAATTGTCATATTGATTTGGTTTCAGAAGGGAATTTGCCACATTGTCGTCCCCCTTTAAATGTTGTAGCGCCCCCGGGTAACATTGTGTTGGGACGCTCAGCCTCCATTTTGTCCGCGCTGATAATCTGTTCCAGCGTAAAGGATTATCTTCCCGCCGCAGCGTGGGGATCGTAGCGCGGTATGAAGATAATCGCGCCTCATACATCACTGCACTGTCCCGCTCAGCCATGTATTCTATGACTTCACTCTTTGCATCGCAGAACAAAACGCGGTGTGGAGGGTTAAGGCCGGCGAGTGAAATTCGCGTCGCGCTGCCAGAAAATTGTTTATCCGCTTGCTGGCCTTCAACTCCAGAAATCACATTTCTATTACAAGTGCGGCCTGTTGTTTGCTAATTGGATGAGCGCTGTTTGGTGTCGGAGTATTTGGGGAGAATTTGAGCCTTCATCAAACACGCGGCGCACTGATTCTGCGGTTTTCCAGCTTCCCCCGTGGAGTGTGTAATGAATAATCCATAAGAGGAAGAGGCTTTGCTGAAACACGGACAGCGCTTTCTACACCCCGAACGTGCGAGAGAGATTGACACAAGATTTTCCTTCGGTCGTCCCCACAGACGGGATATTAAGACGCTCGCTATCTAAACAAGGAAGGCTGCTGAGGAAGCTTTGGAAGCGCTTTTAGATGGAAGGTCACGTCGGCGCGGGATGTTTAACAGGAGAAAGTGTCTCCTTCACACGGGATCGCGTCTAATTGTGATTCCTCGCATCGCAGACATTTCCAGACACGCCGTTTGTTCGCCGTTCGCTGCGAGCGCCGAGGAGGAGCGATTTATTGTATATGGAGATCACAAGCCACGAGCCGATCTGTATTTACAGCAGAGCGGGAAGAAGGTTTGCAACTTCAAGACGGATGTCATGGACGATGCCAGGAGTGATCTTCAGTTGTATAGGAGATGACACGCTGCAACATCGCATGACACATGTAACATCGCATGAAACGCTGCAACGTCGCATGACACATGTAACATCGCATGACACGCTGCAACGTCGCATGACACAGTGTAACATAACATCGCATGACACGCTGCAACGTCGCATGACACATTGTACCATTGCATGACACGCTGCAACACGTCGCATGACACATGTAACATCGCATGACACGCTGCAACGTTGCATGACACATGTAACATCGCATGACACGCTGCAACGTCGCATGACACATGTAACATCGCATGACACGCTGCAACGTCGCATAACACATTGTAACATCGCATGACACGCTGCAACGTCGCATGACACATTGTAACATTGCATGACACGCTGCAACGTCGCATGACACATTGTAACATCACATGACACGCACGCTGCAACGTCGCATGACACATTGTACCATTGCATGACACGTTTGCAACATCGCATGACACATTGTAACGTCGCATGACACATTGTAACATCACATGATGACACGCTGCAACACGTCAACGCATGACACATTGTAACATCGCATGACACGCTGCAACTTTGCATGACACATTGTACCATCGCATTACACGCTGCAACGTCACATGACACAGTGTAACATCGCATTACACGCTGCATGCAACGTCGCATGACACATTGTAACGTCGCATGACACATTGTAACATCACATGACACGCTGCAACGTCGCATGACACATTGTAACATCGCATGACACGCTGCAACGTCGCATGACACATTGTAACATCACATGACACGCTGCAACGTCGCATGACACATTGTAACATCGCATGACACGCTGCAACGTCGCATGACACATTGTAACATTGTAACATTGCATGACACGCTGCAACGTCACATGACACAGTGTAACATCGCATGACACACTGCAACGTCGCATGACACATTGTAACATCGCATGACACGCTGCAACATCACATGACACAGTGTAACATCGCATGACACGCTGCAACGTCGCATGACACATTGTAACATCGCATGACACGCTGCAACGTCGCATGACACATTGTAACATCGCATGACACGCTGCACAACGTCGCATGACACATTGTACCATTGCATGACACATTGTACCATTGCATGACACGCTGCAAAGTCGCATGACACATTGTACCATCGCATGACACGCTGCAACGTCGCATGACACGCTGCAACGTCACATGACACATTGTAACATTGCATGACACACTGCAACGTCGCACGACACACTGTAACGTCGCATGACACGCTGCAATGTCACATGACACACTGTAAAGTTGCATGACACTCTGCAACATTGAATGACACACTGTAGCGTCGCAACATGACACACTGGAACGTCACATGACACGCTGCAATGTCACATGACACGCTGCAAGGTCGCACAACACTCTGCAACGTCGCATGACATGCTGCAATGTTTCATGACACGCTCCAACGTGTTGCAACGTTTTTTTTTGGGTTTGTTTGCTAGAAAATTACTTAGAACTCCCAAACATTATACAGGCGGACTTCGGTTTTTACAAACGCCTCGGATAATGTAATTTTCGGTTTATGAATAAAAATCCGTTGAAAATAACGCCTCGGATTACAATTTTTTTTTCGCAATGCAATTAGATTAATTGGCTTTCAGTGCATTTACAGATTAATTTCTAATCACGTCCCTGGACAGTATTTATGCCTTTAAAGTGCATTTTATAAAGAGTTTTGAACAGATAAAAGACTTCATTGCATTCCTATGGGAAACCACGTTTCGGTTTACAAATTTTTCGCAATACGAAAAGTTCCGAATTAAATTCATATATATTTTTTAAAAGCAAAGGCCCTATAGAATAAAATGGTGGGTGTTGCAATTTTTTTACATCACACGGTATTTGTGTTGAAGTTTTTCAAATTTAATTTTTTTTTGGGGGAAAAAATACACTAAAAATACACAAAAACACAATATAATACCCAATTGGTAAAATGTAACGGATGATGTTATGCCGAGTAAATAGATACCGAACGAGTCTTTAAAATTGCGCACAAACGGAAACATACAACACAAACTTCCCTATCCATCCCTGGCAGATATTACACATGACTCTACTCCTGAAGAAGTGAACTAGGAGTCACGAAACGCGTCGAATATTCGCATGAATTATAATGTAATCATGTATTGACATCTGCATTGTATACAGTCACTTGTATATCCAATTATGTATGAAATGCATTCCTATGGATTTATTACAAATCAGTTTGTTACCATTTTACTCTTTTTTGTAAGTAATGAGAAGTTTATTCATTTATTAAAAAATGTATGTTATAAACTAGTTGGTCGTGTGTTGTGCTTCATTCAAAGTCCCAGGACAAATAAATTGGTTGTATCATCCCACATGGAAGAAAAATATATTTGAAATATATTTTTATTTATTTATTTCAGGTACTTTTATAGTGGTGTCAATTTACGCAGAGCTTTTATATTGTACATTCACATCATCAGTCCCCGCCCCCGAGGAGCGTACAATCTAAGATCCCTAACCTGCATCCATACATACACATACTAGGGCCAATTTAGACAGGAGCCAATTCACCTCCCAGCATGTCTTTGGAGTGTGGGAGGAAACTGGGGGAAATCCACGCAGGCACAGGGAGAACATGCAAACTCCAGGCAGGTGGTGCCGTGGTTGGGATTTGAACCCTAGTACTGCCAGGCAGAAGTATTAACCATTTAGCCAGTGTGCTGCCCTATTCTTCCCAAATATTTTGACATATATTTGAAATGCCACAATTTTGGCCGTATTCAATATATTTCAAAATATATTTCAACAAACATATAATTCATCTGATTTCCGCCTTTAAAAATACGCTCACATTGTGCAAGTATTATTATTATTATACAGGATTTATATAGTGCCGACAGTTTGCTCAGCGCTGTACATTATGGAGGGAGACAGTACAGTAACAATACAGTTCAATACACGAGGGGTTCGAGGGCCCTGATCCTGGGAGCCTACAATCTAGGAGGGAGGGGGTAGTGGTACAGGAGGAAGTGGCTGTGGGGGATGGAGTGGTAGGAAGAGTAGAGGCGTTCAGTATTAGCTGGGGTCAAGGTAGGCTTCCCTGAAGAGGTGGGTTTTCAGAGATCGCCTAAAAGTGAGCAGAGTAGGTGACAGTCTGATGGATTGGAGTAGGGAGTTCCAGAGGATGGGGGCAGCCCTGGAGAAGTCCTGGAGACGAGCGTGGGAGGAGGAGAAAAGGGAGCTAGAGAGTAGGAGGTCTTGCGAGGAGTGGAGAGTACGGTTTGGATGATATTTGGAGACAAGATCGGTGATGTAATTTGGGGCGGAGTTTATGACCGGCTTTATATGTTATTGTTAGTGTTTTTGTTTTATGTTGGACAATGGGATTGGAGGGAGAGAGGGGGTGGAGGACACTGAGTGGAGGCCAGTGGAGGGATTGGCAGAGAGGGGTGGAGGACACACTGAGTGGAGGCCAGTGGAGGGATTGGCAGAGAGGGGTGGAGGACACTGAGTGGAGGCCAGTGGAGGGATTGGCAGAGGGGGTAGTGGGGGACAGAGTGGAGGCCAGTGGAGGGATTGGCAGAGAGGGGTGGAGGACACTGAATGGAGGCCAGTGAAGGGATTGGCAGAGAGGGGTGGAGGACACTTAATGGAGGCCAGTGGAGGGATTGGCAGAGAGGGGTGGAGGACACTGAGTGGAGGCCAGTGGAGGGATTGGCAGAGGGGGGTGGAGGACACTGAGTGGAGGCCAGTGGAGGGATTGGCAGAGAGGGGTGGAGGACACTGAGTGTAGGCCAGTGGAGGGATTGGCAGAGGGGGGTGGAGGACACTAAATGGAGGCCAGTGGAGGGATTGGCAGAGATGGAGGACACTGAGTGGAGGCCAGTGGAGGGATTGGGGAGGGCCAGTGGAGGGATTGGCAGAGGGGTGGAGGACACTGAGTGGAGGCCAGTGGAAGGGATTGGCAGAGAGGGGTGGAGGACACCAAATGGAGGCCAGTGGGGATTGGCAGAGAGGGGTGGAGGACACTGAGTGGAGAGCCAGGGAGGATGGAGGGATAGAGGACACTGAGTGGAGGCCAGTGGAGGGATTGGCAGAGAGGGGTGGAGGACACCGAGTGGAGGCCAGTGGAGGGATTGGCAGAGAGGGGTGGAGGACACTGAGTGGAGGCCAGTGGAGGGATTGGTAGAGAGGGGTGGAGGACACTGAGTGGAGGCCAGTGGAGAGATTGGCAGAGAGGGGTGGAGGACATTGAGTGGAGGCCAGTGGAGGGATTGGCAGAGAGGGGTGGTGGATACAGAACGGTTAGTAAGGTGGAGGAGTCTGGCAGCAGCATTCATGATAGACTGAAAAGGGGATAGCCTGCGATGAGGTCGGCCAATGAGGAGGAAGTTACAACAGTCGAGGCATGATATGACAACAGAGTGAATAAGTTGCTTAGTGGTTTCTGGGGTTAGCCGTGTCTTGGAGGTGTTGCGGAGGTTGGAGGTGTTGCAGAGGTTGGAGATGTTGCGGAGGTTGGAGGTGTTGCGGAGTTGGAGGTGTTGCAGAGGTGGAGATGTTTACAAAGCAGGTTGGAGAGGTTGGGAGTGGTGAGATGTTGGGGGTTGGAGATGTTTCGGGGGTTGGAGATGTTGCGGAGGTTGGAGATGTTGCGGAGGTGGAGATGTTGCGGAGGTTGGAGATGTTGCGGAGGTTGGAGGTGTTGGGAGGTTGGAGATGTTGCGGAGGTTGGAGATGTTGCGGAGGTTGGAGGTGTTGCAGAGGTTGGAGATGTTGCGGAGGTTGGAGATGTTGCGGAGGTTGGAGATGTTGCGGAGGTTGGAGATGTTGTTGGAGGTTGGAGATGTTGCGGAGGTTGGAGGTGTTGCGGAGGTTGGAGATGTTGCGGAGGTTGGAGATGTTGCGGAGGTTGGAGGTGTTGCAGAGGTTGGAGATGTTGCGGAGGTTGGAGATGTTGCGAGGTTGGAGATGTTGCGGAGGTTGGAGATGTTGCAGAGGTTGGAGATGTTGTGGAGGTTGGAGATGTTGCGGGGTTGGAGGTGTTGCGGAGGTTGGAGATGTTGCGGAGGTTGGAGATGTTGCGGTGTTTGGAGGTGTTGCGGAGGTTGGAGATGTTGCGGAGGTTGGATATGTTGCGGAGGTTGGAGATGTTGCGGAGGTTGGAGATGTTGCGGAGGTTGCCGTTTCCAGCCTGCAGCACACACTCCCAGCACTCGATGAGGGCGTGACCAAGCAGTGACGTCATCATGCACGCCACTATCACGTGGCCAGACCACGTGACCACAATGTATGTTGCAGGCTGGTGAGATGCCACTTTGTGTGCTGGATGCTGCAGGCTGAAAACGGCTTTTACATTTAAAAGGCTTTTTATTTACTTGCACCACGTGAGTGCGTTTTTAAAGGTGGTCCTATGGCGAGCGTTTTCTATCTACTCCCATGTGGCTTCTACTTCCCGCAATGGAGAGTATTGGGATCATCTGATGGATATTACCGATATGGTGCTGATTTTCCACATCCATTGATAACTGAAAGATATGCTGGTTTATCTGCTGAGTTCGCACTTTGGTGGGGTGTTGAGCACCTGAAGATTCACGTTTGTGGAGGAATATTTGATATTCAAAAAAGATTCCATGTTTTCCTTGAAGGAAGATCATATATTTAATTATATTTCTTTTTTGCACTCAGTTGCACTAATTTTGGTGGCAGTTTAATTTTCATTTTATTTATTTATTTTATGTATAGTTTAGTTTGGTTGTATGAGACCTATATTTAGTTATAGGTTGAGAGCGCCGTTTTTGTGGGATTTCACGTATTTTGTTACATATATTTCAAATATATTTTTCTTCCATATGGGATTATCCATAGGCGATGCTTTAAAAGCCTTCGCAGGTCTCGGCTTTAGATTTACAAAGCTCGGTCTGGTGCTACAATGACTGCCCTGGATCTGATGTTTGCGCTTATACCTCCCCTGTGGGGGACGGTCGCTGCTTGTGCGCATGTAGGGTGCATTTGCCTTTTGCACACGAGGGTACATTAAAAAATATGTATTTATTTACACTATCTCTTTAAGAATAAAGTCATCACTTTTATATACTATAACTATCCCCTGTGATAGCAATAGGCAGTGACAGGTACTCTATTTTTGGAGAGAACTGAGGTCTATTGGACCCCCAGACCTCCCCTCTGCCTTTAACAGATCGGTGTAATCAGTTGCTTTACCATTTTGAAAATGGTGCTGGTTTTACATCTGGGAAAACCTGAAGTGATGAATGCCCATTGCTCCGGTTTCCTGTATTATAGAGGTGATCGGAGCTGGTCCGGTGTCTGTTTGACTGATGACTTGAGAATCCTGGGGGGACCGGAGAGCCCACGAGAGCCACAAATGGAGGCGGGTGGGATGGGCAGGGGTTGGATGGTAAAGTTCAGATGGAGGCGGGCAGGATGGGCAGGATTAGATAGTAGAATTGAGATGGAGGCAATTGGGATGGGCAGGGGTTGGATGGTAGAGTTCAGATGTAGGCGAGCGGAATGGGCAGAGATTGGATAGTAGAGTTCAGATGGAGGTGGGCAGGATGGGCAGGGTTAGATGGTAGAGTGCAGATGGAGGTGAGCAGGATGGGTGGGGGTTGGATGGTAGACTGCAGATGGAGGTGAGCAGGATGGCCGGGGGTTGGATGGTAGAGTGCAGATGGAGGTGGGTAGGATGGGCAGGGTTGGATGGTAGTGTTCAGAGGGAGGTGGGCAGGATGAGCAGGGTTGGATAGTAGAATTCAGATGGAGGAGGGTGGGATGGGCAGGGTTGGATGGTAGAGTTCAGAGAGAGGTGGGCGGGATGGGCGGGGGGATTGGATGGTAGAGTTCAGAAGGACGAGGGCGGGATGGGCAGGGTTGGATGGTAGAGTTCAGAGGGAGGTGGGCGGGATGGGCGGGGGTTGGATGGTAGAGTGCAGATGGAGGAGGGCAGGATGGGCAGGGTTGAATGGTAGAATTCAGATGGAGGAGGGCAGGATGGGCAGGGTTGGATGATAGAGTTCAGAGGGAGGTGGGCAGGATGGGCAGGGTTGGATGGTAGAATTCAGAGGGAGGTGGGCGGGATGGGCAGGGTTGGATGGTAGAGTTCAGATGGAGGAGGGCGGGATGGGCAGGGTTGGATGGTAGAGTTCAGAGGGAGGTGGGCGGGATGGGCGGGGGGTTGGATAGTAGAATTAAAATGGAGGAGGGCAGGATGGGCAGGGTTGGATGGTAGAGTTCAGAGGGAGGTGGGCAGGATGGGCAGGGTTGGATGGTAGAATTCAGATGGAGGAGGGCAGGATGGGCAGGGTTGGATGGTAGAGTTCAGAGGGAGGTGGGCAGAATGGGCAGGGTTGGATGGTAGAGTTCAGAGGGGGTGGGCGGGGGGTTGGATGGTAGAGTGCAGATGGAGGAGAGCAGGATGGGCAGGGTTGGATGGTAGAATTCAGATGGAGGAGGGTGGGATGGGCAGGGTTGGATGGTAGAGTTCAGAGGGAGGTGGGCGGGATGGGCAGGGTTGGATGGTAGAGTTCAGATGGAGGAGGGCGGGATGGGCAGGGTTGGATGGTAGAGTTCAGAGGGAGGTGGGGCGGGATGAGCGGGGGTTGGATGGTAGAGTGCAGATGGAGGAGGGCAGGATGGGCAGGGTTGAATGGTAGAATTCAGATGGAGGAGGGCAGGATGGGCAGGGTTGGATGGTAGAGTTCAGAGGGAGGTGGGCAGGATGGGCAGGGTTGGATGGTAGAATTCAGAGGGAGGTGGGCGGGATGGGCAGGGTTGGATGGTAGAGTTCAGATGGAGGAGGGCGGGATGGGCAGGGTTGGATGGTAGAGTTCAGAGGGAGGTGGGCGGGATGGGCGGGGGTTGGATAGTAGAATTCAGATGGAGGAGGGTAGGATGGGCAGGGTTGGATGGTAGAATTCAGATGGAGGAGGGCAGAATGGGCAGGGTTGGATGGTAGAGTTCAGAGGGAGGTGGGCAGGATGGGCAGAGTTGGATGGTAGAGTTCAGAGGGAGGTGGGCGGGATGGGCAGGGTTGGATGGTAGAGTTCAGAGGGAGGTGGGCAGGATGGGCAGGATGGTAGAGTTCAGAGGGGTGGGCGGGATGGGCAGGGTTGGATGGTAGAGTTCAGATGGAGGAGGGTAGGATGGGCAGGGTTGGATGGTAGAATTCAGAGGGTAGGTGGGCGGGAATGGGCGGGGGCGGGGGTTGGATAGTCGAATTCAAATGGAGGAGGGCAGGATGGTCAGAGTTGGATGGTAGAGTTCAGATGGAGTAGGGCAGGATGGGCAGGGTTGGATGGTAGAGTTCAGAGGGAGGTGGGCGGGGGTTGGATGGTAGAGTGCAGATGGAGGAGGGCAGGATGGGCAGGGTTGGATGGTAGAATTCAGATGGAGGAGGGTAGGATGGGCAGGGTTGGATGGTAGAGTTCAGAGGGAGGTGGGCGGGATGGGCAGGGTTGGATGGTAGAGTTCAGATGGAGGAGGGCGGGATGGGCAGGGTTGGATGGTAGAGTTCAGAGGGAGGTGGGCGGGATGGGTGGGGGTTGGATTGTAGAGTGCAGATGGAGGAGGGCAGGATGGGCAGGGTTGGATGGTAGAATTCACATGGAGGAGGGCAGGATGGGCAGGGTTGGATGGTAGAGTTCAGAGGGAGGTGGGCAGGATGAGCAGGGTTGGATAGTAGAGTTCAGATGGAGGCGAGCGGGGATGGGCAGGTTTGGATGGTAGAGTTCAGATGGATGTGAGCAGGATGGGCAGGGTTGGATGGTAGCGCTTAGATGGAGGCGGATGGGATGGGCAGGGGCGGGATGGTAGAGTTCAGATGGAGGTGGGTGGGATGGGCGGTGATTGGGTGGTAGCATTTAGATGGAGGCAGACAGGATGAGTAGAGGGGTGGATGGTTCCCTCCTTGGAAAAGCAATCCAGCAGCTAATTAGCCACTTGGATTGCTCTTATAAGAAAGCCAACCATGGGCTCTAAAAATAAATACCAGGACGATGCCTGCAGCTGCACCACTGGAAGTCCAGATAGGTTCAGGTACATCGCTTGTCCACAAGAGGGTAGCAGGAGCTGAGGTTGCAGAGGCAGATGCACTGAGACACAAGGGGGCTTTTAGGGGCTTCATCAACAAGGTCCAAGACCACTGCATACCTTGTAAGGATCAACAAAGCATGTAAGGAGAGCTCTGATTGGCCAGGTGTTGGCG